TAATATCAGGATAAATTATTAAAATTTAGATTTCATAAATAACTTATTCTTTTAGTAATCCAAAATGTTTGCAACGTAAATATTTAATAATTTAATCTGAATCTTTAATTATTGAATGATTTCAGCAAGTATTTGTAATATTGTAAGTTATTACAATATAATTATTAATGTAACAATAATATTAGTCTGTGCGTTGTACGATGTATATATATTATATATATATTTACATACATATATACGTAAATATATACAATGTGTGTGTGTGTGTGTGTGTATACACACAAGGTGATCCGAAGTTCCACCATTCGAAGTACATGACATAATACTTTATGCTAAAACAAACAACTTTTTCCTTTAGCAAAATTGCGTCCAATAAAAAATTTCTACATTTATTTGTTAACTTCAACCTACTCTTCTGCAAAAATTACTTATCGGATGCAATTTTGCTAAAAGAAAAAGTTGTTTTTTGTGCTAAAACGAACAACTTTTTCCTGTAGTAAAATTACATTCAGTAAATAATTTTTGTGTTTATTCGTATAACTTCAACCTATTCTCTAGCAAAAACTACTTAAATGCAATTTTGCAAAAGGAAAAAGTTGTTTCTTTTAGCATAAAGTATCATGTCCTGTATTCCGAATGCCGAATTTCGGACCACACACACACACACACACACACACACACACACACACACACACACACACACACATACATGTATATGTACAATATATATATGTGAATGCAATTCTTTATAAGCACATCTGATGGAAACCTTTCCTTTATTACTTAAGCAGCCGACTTTATATCGCAGTCAACTGCGAATGTCCATTTATTACTTACTGAGGAGCATACCGCGCGTCTGACCGTACATTGTGCTCCTCCACTATTTAATCACGACAAATCCATTAGGAAGTACCGTGTACTTCCATTGGATTGTCCATTGACTAGTTATCGGCAGGTCGCAATGACGGATTCATTAATGCTGAATCATTCACGATATACGGGTACTTATTAGCCGTGTTCCCGGATTAATACGATTATCTGTTTATCCACGTTGAATTGCTGAATACTGATTGAAAGATTACGCCTCGCATTATCGACTAATCGCATAAATTCATGTATTGCCAAGGGGATCATTGTCTATATATAATAAGCCTAATTCTCTGTTACAGAATATGCTGCCTTAAAACGTATATGCTTCCCTCTTACAATAATCAAAGAAGATATCATAAGTATGTAGTATACTAAAGTTTAATCAAACTCTTCTCTTCCTACTTTATCCTCTTCTCACCCGTAACTTTTCATCCGATGTATCCCAAGATTTGTTCTTGTCTAAAATTTACTGTTTTCGTTGCTGATCTATCATCCACTTTACTTGTCTATAAATTTACACGTATGCTAACAATGTCTGTTTATTTGATGTAATTAAATCTCTGTCTATTTGATACTATCTCGGCTACTGAGGCTATAATCGCGATCTCTAATCTGTGCCAAAATGGATCTCATCAAACGCACTAAAAGATTTGAATCCTTCTAAATCTTTCTTGCTCATTACAGGCTATCTCTTCATCTTCTTTGCTCATTATATCAAATTCTTCCTTTGTCTCATCTTAATCCTTTTAACATCTATTTTAATTCCGCATTAGTTCCTCGCTCCTCATCTATTAAAATACTTGGCGTCCACTTCGACTCTTTCTGGTTTTTCAGCGTTTATGTCACTGCCAAGTGTAAAATAGCTTTCTTTTGTCTCCCTATCTATTTCTCTCGTCATATTCTTTTTAACTCTATAAAAATTCCTCTTATCTTAACTTCTCATAGTTTCATTATTCTACTATGCTGGAAATGTGGTCTGCACATTCCAGCTTTGACCCAGCAATTACTTAACCGCATTCAACCCATCCAGAACTTCTGCCTAGGTTTCCATAATATCCATAAATATAATCATATATTCCCACTGCAGCACTCTAAAAAAATCGACAGCGCTTCAACTTTTATTTAGGTTGCTTTCTATATTGTATCTTTGTTCTAACATTCTTTTATATCTTCTTCGTCACCTTCTACACTTTACCGAATTTCATTCCTGCAACACTCCCGACATCCCTTAAGATCTATCCAGACAAATTTGCATAGCCGCATAAACGTATACATAAAGAAAATTACCCAATTACATTTTATGTTCGTGCTTATAATATTATAGAAATGTTGATTGGATAAGTTTCTTTATGGATATGATTTAAGCAGCTATGTTTATCTAGATAGATTCTTGTGATGGCTGCTTATCCTTTCTTGTATATTGTTCCATCAAATTCAGAATTATCTTTTCCTACACTGCCGCCAAATATTTTAACATATTATCTTCTTCCATCAACTCTTTCCTTTCTTTATCTTCTTTTCGCGCCACAGTGGCAAATTTTATCTCATCAAATAAATATACTGATTTCATCTCTTGCTGCTTAAACCAGCCAAGAAAGGCGATTTTTGTATGTTATCTAACACGAAAAATACTCTCTGACTTTAATCTGCATCCAACATCTGCCTCCTGTATTTTCTTTTTGTTTATTTTTGTTTCTTTTTTTTATATGTATGCTTTGTATGTTTTTCATGTGTTTTTGTGTGAACATAATATTATGTTAATGACTGTGTGTAATGTACAAATATTTTTAATGTAATTAAGTGTAATTTATAACATATTATTTCATTCACCTGGTACCTTAGCTTTTTGTGTATTTACATATTTCGCGTATTTCAGTGTAATTTTGTGAATACACAAGAAAATTAAATTAAATTAAATTAAAATTATCTTTATATGATAAACAAAGTTTATTAAATAAAAATAAATAATAATAAGTTTATTTTGTAAATTTTGTTTTTTAAGTAAAACAGGAAAAATTATGCTATAATTCCTTGATTTTTAATACATCTTTTCCATTATGATTAAATCATCTGTTAATAAAAAGAAGGTACTATTAAAAATCGTACGCCTGATGTATTGAAATATATATTTCAAATATTTCAAATCCAATACTAACCAAAGTCGTAATTCTCGACAGACATTTAAATCCTTTATCGACTATCCGAAAAAGTAAAATCAAGTCAAATGTTGTCAGATCTACTTTCACACATGTGGCACACGAAAGCTTTAATATCTTGAATTTCTTCCAGACTATCACGAAGAAAGTAACGTTTTAAACGTTACTCCGGGGAGGCATTCGCTGCCGCTGGTCGGAACGCACGGTTGCTTGAGGCGATAAGAAATAAAAATTATCATCATATGTGGATACCGCCGTGAAATGGCCTGTCACACGAGCACTTTGTCTTTGCATTATTATTTCTTTTATTACGCCGCTTTTTATCGTCGACCTTTCCATAACACTTTATTTCCTGTATACGATGCGATTTTCGCACCGCAGCCGTTTTTCCATGCAGACATGTGTCGTTTCCTCAGTTTATCGACATTTCGTCGCCGAAACAATGGTTTCGAGATCGTTTCAACAATATTAGATCATAAACTCAAGTCTAGTTACGCTAGTAAACCCTTTGTCACATATAAAGAGAAAGCATAAATCTTTTATATAAATATAATAGTATATCAAATAAAAAATATTTAAACTATTATATATAGGTACAATTATATGTACAATTATAGGTACAACTTTTTAAACAATAGGCAGAGATAACATTAATATAGAGTTTATTTTCATTTTATCTGACTATTTTCTTTACAATCTTAATACTGTCTATAATACTAATGTAATATTTTATTTTCAATTTAAATAAATAGATACTTTCAATACAATTTTTCATGATGATATTGCTATCGCAATCACGTTTATTGAAAAAAACTTATAGTAACTTTCTGTCACGTGTTACACTGAAATTGTCACGCGCGAGAACAGCATTTAAATGTCCAAGCTGAACCGACACAGTGCGAGGCGTCTTTGCGCTTTTCTCTCCTTAGAAACTTAGTTCATAAACTGCAACGCGATTAACTGCCGCTATCAACGTGACCAGGACATTTTGCCTCGAAGGCGACAGGAGAAAACGCGAGAAACAACGGCGATGTCCTAGCTATAATGCGAGCTCAACGTATTTCCCCGACGACGCCCAACTTCCGCCAGGACGAACGGCCAACATCCGGAGGCGGGCACATTTCTCTACAACTTGGTAATTGGCTTAGAACGAGCCTTCAACTCGCGAAATTTCTCTCGTGGAACCGTAGAAACACATATACTGCACTCGTACAATTGTGAAGAACAATTGTTATTACGCAACAGCCAGTAAAGGTGTTGCGCGAATCATAAATAGAAATCCAATAAATTTTTTATCTTTTTTTACATCAGAAATTGAGTTTTCCGGTATTAAACTGTGTTAATACTTCGATAACTTTCTAACTATTTCTATAAACAATAATATAACTTTTGTACGATATAATGGAAAATAATGTATTGTAGGAAAATAATGGGCAAAATTATAAGTTAAAGATTATCCGCATTCCTATAAAATTTGAAATTTACTCTCGGTTTTCTTCTTTCTTACTTTTATTAACTTTAGAATGTTATCGCTATTGAATGTATAGTATTGCGATCGATATGTATTAAGAAATAGACTACTCTTAATTAATTATTATGGACTCATAATTAATTCGTAATACAAGTTTTTCATATCTTTCACACTTTTAATAACAAAATATTTATTAATCTAGACTTGTATAACATAAGTAGCCTAATTATTAACTTAAAAGATGAATAAAAAATATATAACAATAATAATAACACAAAACTGCTTAATATTGAAATTATTTATACTGACCATCAAAGAATCCAAACAGATAAATAATGGAAAATTTTTAAAGACTAGTCTCCGCTAGCTTTTAACATGATAAAGTAAGCCTTCTAATAACCACCGAAGGCACAGTTTGATACTTAATAACACCGCTCATTTGTACGTAAAATTTACGTATCGATAACATTCTAATTGTAAGATTACGTAAGAAAAAAATTCAATTATTGATCTTCCGTCGGTGTCACGATATTTCTCCGCGCATGAGCGATCGATTCGAAATGTACTTTTGCTTGAAGATTCTTTATGCAAAATTTCTGCAGGAGTGACGAGTCGTAGAAGCTCTCAATATGAATGATTCCGTGATGAATTGCTACCTCGGTTTTCGTCAGTAATAAGGAATTCCAGGGCGCCCATTCAAGCTCACGTCGGAAGCGAGTCAATCTTAGCTCGTCGAGGTCGTCGCACTCGGAAATACCTGATCTACCATGCCAGACTTTGTTCACCAAACGACAGATGACCTTGACTCCGATCACAAAAGCTAAACTGCCATAACAACCCATCTTGGCTTCGAAACGTCTGACTTCCCATAACATTCTCTCGTATGGCTCATACACGATGCGAGGGCCTTTCCGAATTTGGATAGACGTACAGTAGACACAAGAAGAAGAGCGCAGTCGCCTTTCACGAGGAAACTTCTCTAAGGATAAGAGCTTGCCACAGGTTCTACACAGTCGTGTGATGTTGGTATTCGACCAGTCGAACAAATGTATGTCTTCCTCGATATCGCCTGAGATAAATAGAAATTATTAATTAATATCTAAATTCTTGTCTTAAAATTTAAAAATAATTCTACATATATGTATATAAACTCTTTCTTTAACTATTTAAATTTTTATTTACAGTTTTAATAAATTATTTGGAAAAAAAACTATTATGCTGCCGTCGTAAATGAAAGAAAAAAATTGAAAAACCTTGCAGAGTATTGCGTGCCAGCTTAAGAAAGCTCAGCTTCAGTCGATTCCTGAGCCAATTAAGTCTGCTTGTATTCACGTGACACGTTAAAAGGTCTAACTCTTGGTTAACTAAATAAACGAGCTCATGCGATTGGCTGCACGTGTGCATGTCAGCGATCTGTTTTACGTCGTGTAATAAATCGACCCGTTCTGGGATAGACAAATTTTCGTTGGCTAGCAAGGTATAAACGTTCCTGTGTTGGCGGGCTCGTTGAACACGCAAAGTGTCTACCAGAATCGGCCGACCGCGACTGTCCTGCCAGGTAATCGATCTGGATAATTCATCTAGGAATCTATATCGTTTTTGTTCTCTACTCTTGAGACGAACAATGGTCTTCATGGAGTCTATAGCGCGCAACAACTCGACTTCTTTTGACAAGATTAGGCCACAGGCTGCGATCTTCGATGATCCAAGAAGCGTGAGACTCGCTCGCTCGGTCTCAAGGATTCGCCAACGGTCTAGGAGATTGTAGAGCGACTCAAAGTCCGAACTCGTACGTGGCGGACAGCGATTTAGTATCACGAAATCCGTGCCACTGTAGGTGGACAACATCTGAGAACATTCTGCATGCTCGATCACGTTCGCCTCATCACATCGAGAAACATCAGCCACTTGGAAAATGTTCGCTCTGGCCGCCACTCTAGCTCGATAAGCCCTGCGGACCGACCCAAATTGATAATTGCTTAAATTTAATCGTAATGAAATTTTCATTCTTGTATACACAAAAGTATATTTTCACGAATTAAATTGTGCGAATAGATTAATAAAAATTAAAATCCCTTTCTTTAACTTTGTAACATTTTTATATTGTCTCAACAAAAGTTTAGAAGTAATTACAAAAATATTAAAGAGTTATATTTTCACTAATGTAAACATTTTTTGTGTAAAAATAAACTATATTGTGTATATATATAAGATGGCGCATAAAATGTAATACTATTTAATTATCCAAATTTTCGGATTTTGATAAATAATTCTCCTTACCAATTCTCTGTACCAATTCTGTTAAAAATAAATATATTACATAATATAAGGTAAATGATGACATTTTGCACCACTCTGTATATATCCTAAACATCTTGTTCATAATAAAATGACACCTCTACATTATAACATTTTTATATTGTTCCAACAAAAAATTGAGAAATAATTGCAGAAATACTGAAAATTGTGCTTACTAATTTAAACGTTCTTTGTACAATATTATGTCAAATTAGAATAATAGAATAGACAGAGCTATTCCACCAGTTTTAACTTTCAAGAAATTTTAAAAATTTACGACGATAAACAATATCTCTTTACAGTGATGCGCTTACAGCAGCTACATTATGCAACAATGATCGTTTCTTGAGAGCACTAGCACAACCTTTGAATATTCAACATGTGCTGTTCAGAAACATAAGCATTATCGCGAAAAATGAACACGAGAAATAAAAAAGCCCTACTCTATCCTATGCATTATAAATTATTCGTAATATCTTATTCATAGTAAAATCCGCACTTACCTATAACATCTCTGTATTTTAATAATATTATTAAGAATTCTACTATTATCCTGACAAGATAATGATTTGATCTCTTCGATCGATGCCGGTGTTCTAAAGGAAAAAATTCCAGGTACTATAATTCTGTCACGTGCATCGGGCAAAAATTGCATCGCCTCCACCTGCACCGCCTGATCGTGGACGACGTCAGTGACCGTGTCCACGACCGCAATGGTCTGTGTGATCCTACTTTTCGTTCCGTCGTCGCTGCGTGTTTGCGTGCAAGCATTGTGATAGATCAAGCCGGTAACGATATTCCTCCATCCTCCAAGAAATGGCTTTGTCCTTGAGCCATAATCTTGTATTCTCTCAACGATCGCCATGGAGCATCAGCGGCTATTCCATAGGATTTAACCGCCTATGTCTACAAGGAAAAGGTTTCGATCAAGAAAGTTGAAAGACAAAAGCATAATATCGCATAATAATGGATAGATTACGTAACTCTGTTTCTTCTATCGAAAATGTGAAATGAAGAAATATTAAATTTCAGAGAAACGAAAGCTCTTGTATTTAAAGGGATGTTAATATTATAATTTCTGATTATAATACAATGTGAATGTATTTTACAATTCTCACAGAAAATCATGCTTTAATTTCTCAGTAATAATCTTCAGCTTTCAAATGATAGATAATATTATAATACAACAATATTTCAGCATAAATTACGGTGAAATATATGAAAACAAAAAATTCCAATGTTTTATAAAATCATAAAATCAGAGACGATGATATAAAAGTAGTCCGAGATACGTAAATTACATATTTAAAAGCCATATTAATAAAAAAATATTATAATATTTAATACTTTCATAATATAATGTAAAATTATTCTCCAATTCTTTATTTTTATTAATTTTTATTTATTACTTTTTAGATTTAAATATAATAAAATAATAAAAGTTAGATTTTTTTATTGCAAAAATAAACAGAAATTATTTTATATGGATTATTTTTACAAAAATTATTTGAATATTGTTAAGTGTTTTAACATTCATGCATTGTTGAGAAGAAATAATTAATTTTTTATTCGTTTATAAAGAGATTCGTTTATAAACTTCTTTTCGCACAATAACCGATATTGTTCACGAAGGAAAAGACGACATGGATACTTTGAGTCAGCTATTTTACTTTATTTTTTCTTTTAGGTTGGTTGAAATTGCTTGCGATCTTTTATCTTCAGCATTGTGGCGCGATGGTCCATCCCATGGGACTTAAACGCCTACGTCCATAGACAAGTTAAAACCCGCCAAGTCCAGGTCGCAAAAGTGGAAGAATAACTATCGTAGCGACCTGCCGCTGGGATAACGATAATACTCGACAGTAAAGGAAATTACTATTCTCTTGGTTTAAAAGATCTGACAGCAAGCTGCAGTGGAAAATGCGCCAGCTAACACTTTGCACTTTCGCACAAGCTTTATGGAATCGCAAAGAGTGTATAGATATACAGCCGAGCAAGAATCAGCGGAATAAATACAAATAATCGAAAATTCTAGCACAAGCGCATATATAAAAATAATGTTACTTCAATCATATACATATTTTAAATATAATTATAATTGTAAAAATAATGAAATTGCAATATATAAAATTATTGGAACATGTCCTACAATAAATTTGAACAGGCCAACAGGATCATAATTATCAATATATACTATTTAAATAAATAAATATTTAATAAAAAAAAATAATATTTAACAATTAAAGAAATATTTAACATAAATTTTATTTTGCAATATATACTGTTTCATGTATCGTTTCTTTTTTAAAATATTCCATCTAAATTTGTAGTATCCCGATCGTCAAGAGTCGTTTATATTCATATTGTCTGATATCGAATTCTACTTTGCAATTTGCGACAAAATATACTCACATTGTTCTTAGAAAGCATTTCTCTTTCTGAAATATTTGTTTTGTATATTTATACGATACCATATGCGAGAGAAATATTTTCCGCAAAACTGTCGTATAAGTAAGATAAAATGATGTATATTTTATGATTAAAGAGACTATCGAAGTTGTCTGTTGAAATCTCGTGTATTGCATATTTATTATTTAATGTAACGTGTAAACCTTTTTTGAATCCAGTATCTTCGCTTCAACCCATTATTTCACAAATACATAAATTTATAGATCCTCGGTTTTGCAAACCGTTTGTTTCTTAAACATTTAAATTTATAGAGCTCTTATTTCTCGAATTCCGCCCATAGCATTTTAGATCTTTGACCTCTTTTTTTCCCGTTTAAACACTCGAGCTCAAATATCTCTCTTTTACGCAATTTTGTAAGTAAATTTAACTCTGTTAATAAAACGTTTATTTAACAATAAATTCGAATTGTCCACAACTTGTTGCAGCATAACTCTGTGTAACTTCGTAACAAAAAAAAATATTTAGAGAAAATAGTATTATGATCCTTACATCTATAATATAATTTATACCGCGTCTTAATATTTTCGCTATTAGATAAATTTCATTTATTTACAGAATCATTTGTTCACAACGCCATTATAGCGCTAATAATATGTTAATACACAATAATCAGCATTTATTGTAACGCATTTTTACTTTTAAGCATTTTGAAACATTTTAAAAATATATTTTGAAATTTAATTATTATTAAACTTAAGTATGTTCTAAATAATACAATAAATACTGATCATAATGTTGAGTCTAGTTGAATTGATTTCGATTATAAATAACATCGAAAAATATAAATCGTTGAGTTTTAAATTTAAATATTATTATTAACAAAAAATTATTGTATAAAATATAAATAGGGCATTATATCACCTTTATAATCTTCTGCTCTTTGAGTAGCATAAAAATAACACAAAGTATAAAAATAACGTGAAGATCTTAGAGAGCATGAGCGTAAGCATCTTATTTAGATTCTTTCCTTTTTCCACCGTGACAAAACAAGGAAACACTTTCAGAAACCCCGACGAAAATCAAAGAGAAGAAAGGTGCTCAGGTCAAGAAGAGTTATTTTCGTCCAACAATACTCTCGGCAAATAGCACTTGCGGCGACAATTTGCAGGCAATAATTGGGAAAGATGTTTATTTTGGACAAGGGAATTAGAGGAATGAAAGAGAATGGGAAGGGTCGACACTCACAAAATGTCGACAAGACGTAGCGGAAATCTGAGTATACTTTCTCGACCATGTATCGTGACACAAAACGTACTTTTCTGTATTATAAATTACGCGCGAGATGCCGAGACAGAAGGACGCGAGTTCTGTCCTGGTGTTGCTAAGAGACGGCACGGCGCGAGCACAGCAAAACTTTTCGCGAGATCGTCATCCACGAAGCGAAGTCAGCGGAGATGGGCGCGTTATACATATTTATGCAAAGCAAAGGATATCGGAGGGAGAATTTTAAGTTAGATATAAACGGACGAGAAAGTTTGTCGTCGCGCGACACCTTCCTCTCAACCTCGTCGGCGGAAGTTATGCGCTTCCTCGCAGCGAACGTAATTCGCTGGTAAACTCAGCGACAAATATGGATAAAACGAGAGATTAATGATCGCGATGAACGAAGGAGTTGAACCATTATCGAGCAAGAAATATAAATTGCTTAAGAATCCTCTGTTAAAATATTCATAATTCTTGTAAGTTAGCGTTTTATTATGGTCTTTTTTTTTTACTATAAAAAGTGACTATGACATTTTTTTCCTAAAGACAAAATATAGATTGCAGATAGCTTTAATGACTAGCTGGCTGCATAGTAGACCACTAATGGACTATTATTCGACATTTTTTTTTCAGGCAGAACGTAAAAGCCTACAAATGGCTTTAACTTACTTTGATGCATTTTGGCTTCACTTGTAATATTCATTAAATTTAAAAAAAAAATCAAGAGTGAAACATTCTATATCAGTATTATAAATATTTAATTTAGTTTATAATAGATAACAGAAAAATGCTATAAAAATATGGTACCGCATACGCATATAAATGTGATACTAGAGAAGAATTACCATTTGTAAAGTACTCTATAAAATGTCTGAATATACAGCGAGGATTTCAAGAGGAACAAAAGAAAAGGACTAGTGAGGTACGAAGGATTTTTGATGGAAAGCTGAATTTTATGAAGTACCGCGCTTTCTAGTGTACCCACATTGGTAATCGATGGAACGAAAAATGGTTTCATTTTACGAAGGCCAATGCTTCTTTAATAATTTGACTGGCCATTCTCTTTTACACCAGAACTCTCTACGCAAAAGAAAACCAAAAAAAAGAATTCAATAACAATTGGAAATCACGATTTGCACGCAACACATAATAACATATCAATGTAACTGGGATAGCTTTGTTAACGAAATGATGAAAAAAGAGAACAAACAAACGAGTCGATCGATTGCGCCTCTCGTGAATGATTTCGCAGCAAGAGACGAGTTTTCGATGGAAACATGCGGCGAACAGTGTAGACAGCAAGGGAAGTAATTAACGCAAACATAGCAAATGCAAAGAAAAAGAGCGCTTATTTCGCGTTTTTACAAGAGCACGTCCTTAATTGGGCGCTCGAGAAATATGAGAGCGACAATGACGATTGGAGATCCAAATATTACGAACAATCAACGAATTTAATTGCCACACGGCGCAATTATTTGCAGCACATAAATATTAATGCAATGTTCATTATTATAGAGAAGTTGGTGTGCCCAATTTCCTCCACTACGAATTTATAACAGATTCTCAAAATAAATACTTTCAAAATTTAAGGAAGAAAATTTATCGAGAGACTCACCCAAAGGCAACGCGAAAGCGTTGTCGCACGATATCACAAGCACTTCATAATTTAAGCAAAATCTTAAAATACTTTTCGTGTAATAGCTTTATAATTTTAATACGGTTTCTATGTAATTTATTAAAATTGCATTATCGCCCGTTATAAGCCGGAAAAATGCTTTTATCGCAAAGCGATTGCATTTCGCGAAAGATTGAACGACTTAGTCGGATTAAACTGAGTTGGTGCGCAAAGTAGTACACATCGTCGATCAAATTTTGACATTCGCGATATCCACTGGGATAAGTAGATCGAAGAGTAGCTTTTAATGCGACCTACGTATGTACTACCTCCATGTGCGAGACTCCGCAGCGCGGCACCTGAAAGCTCAAAGCCTTAAATCCAACGTTGCCAGTGGCAACGTGCTTGGTCGATCGGTCAAAAGCCTTCTCTTGTCCATTATTTTTCGATTTTGTGTGTTCCCCGATTCAAAAGCCTCCGCGACGGATATGAATTCAGACTGGTGTGCGGACATTATGCGCCCCGGGACAGAGAATTTTCGACGGCATTCATACATCTCCGCTTTCAGCGTTCTCTGC